GGCGATGGACAGAGGGCAGGCGCCTGCCGAGCACGAGGCCGGCCAGGTTCCATCCCGGGCACCCCACGCAGTCCCTGAGGAATCACCTCTGAGCCGAGCCAGGAGTCAGCCCTGAGGTGTGGCTTCAAAGGACCAAACCCATACGTGGGATCAGTCCCTTAAGTCCACCCTCCTCCCTCGTGCCCCCTGCAGCCCACCTGTCCCTTTCCTGCCCCCTGGCAGTGGCGCCCGATCTGCCGACACACTTGTCCTCGTCAGGAGTGCGGGGCTGGTCTCAGACACCCCAAGGCTGCCGCAGCCCCTGTGTGTGTCTCGGCCTCAGGGGTGGCTGTGCCTCCCGTTGGGGGCTGCGACAGGGGGGCGGGGGCCAGTGGGGCCACGGGGCCGGCTGCCTCCCCGACCCGGCTGTGCGCTCTGGTCTGAGGAGCCTGAGTGCGTTTTCATTCACCGTAGAAGGAGCAGTGGATGTCGGAGACCGGGTTCGGGCCCGTGTCTGGGGCTGATGGCCGGGAGTTCCCTGCGCGCGTCCTTTCCCTGGGGTGGGGTGAGGCTGATGGGCCGGTGTGCAGAGTCTGTCACCAGTTCCTTTGCTCCCTGGCCTGAGGCAGCTGCTGAGTGCCGGCTCCCGGGACTCCGAGTGGGTCTCTGGATCCTGCAGGTGCTGGTCTAGGCAGGAGGGTTGGCAGTCCCGTGTGCCGGGCCCTGGAGGGCAGCGGCGGTGCCAGGGTGCCCAGCTCTGCACCTGGAGCCGAGCCCGGGGCCACCTGGCAGTCGGGCAGTGTCCAGGCAGGGTTCCAGCGGGAACTGAAGCCAGGCCACCGTCCGGAGGATGCCAAGGGGCCTGGGCCTGTGTGTCGTCTCAGCGGGCGATTTCTGGAGTCCGAGGACCCCAGACCCTGCAGGCCCTTCGCTCGCTTCACTCCCGGTCACCCACCCGGGCACGGGGAGCCAAGGTGCCAGTTGTCCCAGAGTGGCCGTTCTCCTTGGTGCTGGGTGGCTGGCTTTCTGCAGAGGGTCTGGGGGGCAGATTATTTGGAAAGCAGGTGTCGCCACGGGCAGGGAGGGCGCCTTAGTCGGGGCCTGGCCCGGGCCGCAGACGGCCCCATGACTTCCCACGGGCTTCGTCTCGCGCGCGGTTTCTAGCCACTTCCTGTCCCCTCACTTGCCGCGGTCGCCCTGTGTTCTGCCTAGCAGTGTCGGGGGTCTGGGGCCTTGCGAACGACGTTGGGGCAGACTGCGCACTTAGGCTGGCCAGGCGGCGTCCTCTCGTTTCTGGGGGGAGGCTGTGTGGGACTGACCGGGGCAGCCATCTGACCTGGGCTCTTCCTTTCTCGGGGCTGGGGGAGTGCGATAGTTGGGCACTCAGGGCTCTGCACTCAGGAGTCACTCTTGGCGGTGCTGGGGGACCGTACGGGATGCCGGGGGTCGAACCCGGGTCGCCGTGTGCAAGGCCCTCCCTGCTGGACTATTCATCACCCCGGCCCCAAGGAGATTCTGTTTAGGGAAGATTTTGCATCGGAAATTGCTAGTCGAAGTTCTCTAGCAGAGACCAGTTCAAGTGTCTCATCTTCCAGTTCTGTTGTGGTCGATTATGATTTTCAGGGAATTTGTCCGTTTCATTGAAGTTGTCAGATGCGTGTACTTACAGTTGATTAGTCTTTCCTTGGTGATAACCCTTGGTGACTAAGACGTTGATTTTTGTCTTTTTTGGTTTCCTTTGTAAGTTTATCAGCGTCAACGTCCTTAGAGAACCGGGCTTCGGTTTTTTTCACCTTTTCTTATACGGGCCTTGTTTTGTGTTGCTGCTAATCGCTCTCGCTGTTTCTTTCTGCGTGTCTCAAGTTCGTCTTGCTCTCCTGCCCCAGCCTTGAGAGGGGATCGTTGGTCGTCTGCACTGTGAGCTGAGGCAGATGGCAGCGCACAGCCTAGAGGAAATGGTGGCCTTCAGGATGGCCACCATGAGGAGCCACCATTTTCTGCAGACGCAGCAGAGGCTCTTTTCCTTGCTGCAAGGCTCCTCCCCGCTCTCAGTCACACAGCAGCGTCTTAAGGTGCCTAAGCAGGTCTTGAGTGTGTGCGTGTGCGCGCGTGTGTGTGCGTGTGCGCGCGTGTGTGTGCGTGCGCGTGCACTGGGGGCGCAGGGGCGGTGGAGGGAGCTGTGCCTCCCGCTGTGGCTTCTTCAGGCTCTGGTCGAAGGTCGCTCGGGCAGTGCTGTGGGACCACATACAGGCCTGCCATTGGCCAGGGCTTTGCGCCTTAATACCTGTACTCTATCCTGAATCTGCGGTTTTGAGAACCGTCTTGAACATTGTTTGCGTTCAGGAGTGACAGCTAAGTATCCTAATCACAGTGTCCAGACCGAAACACAGACTTAAAAGGTGCCCATCAAGATGGCAGGCTGGGTGGGGGTGGGGCTGGGTTAGGGAACCTGGGGACATCGGTGGCGGGAACAACTTCAAAACCCAATATGAATAACTTTGTAACTCACGGTGCTTTAATAAACAAATTTTATGGGTCCGGAGCCATAGTACAGCAGGTGTGGGTATTTACCTCACCCTTGGAGGACCCGGGCTTGGTCCCCGGCACCCGATACGGTCCCCTGAGCCCCACCTTGAATGATCCCTGAGTACTGAGCACAGCTGGGTGTGGCCCAAAAACAACAAGATAGCAAAACCATTTTGGGAAGAAGAGTTGTCTTTGTCACGGAGTCCCGTGGGGTCCCGGCACTGCGTGTGTTCGGACTAGGTCTGCGTGGCCCCTTCTGTGCTGCCCCCTGGAGGCGCCGTGTCGTGGCTGCTGGGGTGTTGGGGTGTTCATGAGTCTCCGGGTATTTGGCTGGAGAGCTGGGGGCCCTCGGGCCCTGCCTGGCCGCCCTGCTCCCCGTCCGCACCATGTCCACGCCCGGAGAGTGCTGGCAGTGCTCAGGTGTCACCCCCGGTGGGACTCGGGGGACCATACGGGACGCCGGGATCCAACCCTGGCAACTTCGTGCATGCAGCCACCCTGACCACTGCCCCCTCGCTCTGTCCTGAGTCAGTTTGTTTGAGTTCGCATTGTTGCACTTCTGTTGCTATCATGTTTTGGAAAAAAAGGCGTGTCCTGCCCACTGTCCATGCTCAGTGCCCGTGGCTCCCCTCCCTTCCGGCTCTTGTTCCGAGCCCAGTTCTGGTTCCAAGCCCCTGACATGAGTCGCATGTCCGCAGACATGTCCGTGCGGGCGGCAGAGCAAACTTCGGTGAACACGATCCGAGCTCTCCGCCATACTCTCCTGGACGGCGGGCAGCACTTGGGCACTTGGGGGGACAGAGCGCCAAGTGCGCCCACGGCCAGCAGCTCGGGAATGCCTGCGTGGCCGCCGAAGGTCACCGCACACAATTGGCGAGTGTCAGGCCTGAAAGGGCTCCTGTGTGAGCCCGTGGGTCCCTTCCCTCCATGGAGGAGAGGGGCGGTGGGCGGTCAGTGGGAACTGGCCATGGCGCGTGCTCCTGAATGCAGCCCATAGGAACTTGCCACGCCCAGGGTCTGAGCTCAGGGATCACTCCTGGGGCTTGGAGGACAGATGCGGTGCCAGGGGTCGAACCCAGGTCGGCCACGCGCAGGCAAGGCCGCACCACAGGGCCAGCACTCTGGCCCCCGACTGAGGGCTTGAATGATGGGAGAGAATCGACAGCCTCCAGTAGCTGCTGGATAAGGCCGGATCTTCCCAAGTCAGTGCGTTTGTTTTAATTCCAGTCTGTGTGAATGGAATTTTAATTTCCTGAAATGTATTTGAAATGCCAGTGATGGAATCGAGACAGTTTCAGAAACATCCCAGATTCTTCTTCTGCTGTCCGCAGTGATACGTAGTGGAAGCTTCAGGAATTCCTGGTCTTCATTTAGGGATAAGCATGGGAGAGGTTAGAGCAGTCTTTGCATGGAGTTGTGAGGGAATGTGCAAATACACACATATATATAAATGGATATGCACATTTTTCAGTGCGTGCAGCGATCACTGTCATCCACTTGAAAAAGAAATTCAAATTCCAGATAAACACTTTAAATTTTTGAAAAAATCATTCAGATACTATCACAGTCTCTTGTAGTCTCATGACTAGAAGGTCAGAATTTTTAAAATAGTAGACCTGCTTCAAAGGCCTGTGGCCTGGAGATGGTTCATAGTCATGGCACTTCCTGCTGACCCTGATCCCTGATCCCAGGTGCTCCCTGAGCCCCACCAGGAGTGATCCTTGAGCGCAGAGCCAAGAGTGAGTCCCCCCGAAGAGAAGCACAGTATGTATGACGGAACAGTCGAACAATTGGCTTCTTACAGGACAGTAGCAGACAGATGGGCTCTTCAGCAGGAAACACGGGCCGGGGCGGGGGGGGGGGGGGCGCTGAGGCGTTAGGGGCACACCCAGAATGTTCAGGGCTTACCCCTGACTCTACTCGGGGATCACTCCTGGCGGGGCTCTGGGGACCATGCATACGGGGTGGTGGCCTTTTGCTCAGCTGGACTATCTCTCTGGCCCCTGGCAGTGAAATTTTAAGTTATTGTTTAAGTAATTTGAATGCTAAAAAGGTACAATTTTAAAGTTCTTATATTTTGTCACTTTTGATTTTCTTGTACTTTGTGGAAATGTGTGTATGGTAGGGGAATCCATTCATTTTTATGGGTAATTGTAGTGTTTTGAATTTTTTTTTTTTATCTTGAAACATCAAAAGAATGGCCTCTTTCAGTGGCACCGTCCATCTGCGCAGATCGGCTTTTCCAGAATCTTGGCTCTGAGGCTGGTGTCACACTCGGTGGCGGGGTGCTCTGCTTCCGCAGCAGCCCCGAGTTGGACCCCAGATTTGCAGGGGTAGCCCCTTCTCCCCAAACAAAAACACAACCAGGAGAAAACAATGAATGACTGTAGGGTTGGTTTCGCAAAATAATCGTTTTCACCCCTGAAAAATTATTTCTTCAAGCGACGCTAATGTCTTGACGCGGGCGAGACTGACTCCCTCCTTCTCTCGTCCAGTCAGGTCAGTTCAGCGAGGACATGATCCCCACGGTGGGCTTCAACATGAGGAAGGTGACGAAGGGGAACGTCACGATAAAGGTACGTGACGCCCTGGCCCTGCGCCCTGGTCGGCGCCACCGACATTGGCGGGTCGTTCGAGTGCTCAAGTCGTGAGCGGGCGGGCCCGTGTCCACACAGATCCAGTTACAGACCCAAGACTTTCGGTTCAGAATGTGTAAGCATTGAACTGTTAGGTGTCTGTGAGTAGCCTGGCGTACAGAGTGGGGGAAGTGACAGTCCAGGGTTAGTCGTTCTAGGAAGTAAAAATCTCTTCCCAGAGCATTTGAATGTGTTCCTGTTACTTCCCGAACGTGTTCGACAGACTCTTTGTTAGGATTCATCCCTTTGCTTCCCTGCTCCCCGCCCCTTTCTTTCTCTCTCTTCTGATTTCCGTGCCAGGGAGCAAACCCCGGGTCCGGCCTGAGGGTTTGTTGCTTGCCCTGCAGCCCAGCCCTTGGTTTTGTGTCCTCCGAGCATGGTGCAGTGCCTCGAACCCTTACCGTTACTGCCCTGTTGTGACGCCTGAGGCTGCTCAGTGAGTTCTTCCCGTAGCTCCTCTTTGGAAGCTCTCATTCATTCTGCATCTGTCTCTTGGTACATGTTGCTGGTGTCTGCGGCTCGAATGCCTCCTGCAATCAGGTGCATTGGCCAGGGCTTGGCGTCACTGGCCGCTGCTTGATGCCCTCGAGTGGAGCAGAGCTGCGTCTGGGCAGGGCATCACTGTTGGGGTCTTGTTTGGAGCTACACTCGGTGAAGCTCCGGGCCGGTTCCTGGCTCTGCACTTGGGAATTACTCCTGGGACTCTGGGAGTGTGTGGGATGCCAGGGTTTGAACACGGGCTGGCCGCACGCGAGGCAAGCACCCGCCCCACCGTGCTCCAGCTCCAGGCTCTGGCCGCAGCACCCTGTTCCGTAGGGGCGGGCGCTCATGCCTGGCCAGAGCAGGACTTGCTAAATCCAGAATGAATTGTTTCCTTGGCGTGCATCTCTGGGCGATGGATTGATTCCATTAACTGTTGGCTGTGCTGGAGGGCTCTGGCCCCGCCCCAGGCTCTGCAGATTCCTTTAAAGCTTCCACTTTAGAGACGGACTGGCCAGTGGACAGAGGGGTAGGTGTAGGGACCCCTGTGAAGCCTGGGGGCTCCACCCCACGGTCCCCAGCCTTGCTTTCCTGGGCAGTGCCCTCTGCCTGGGATGAGCCCGTGACCAGCACACGTCCTCCCCGCCCCTCTGCCTGCCTTCACTGAGTCGTCTGTCTTGTTTTCAAGATCTGGGACATCGGCGGCCAGCCCCGGTTCCGGAGCATGTGGGAGCGGTACTGCAGAGGAGTGAACGCCATTGTGTAAGCGCCCGCCCGACCCCAGCCCTTCACTGCACGCAGCACCCCACCGTGGGGCTTTGGGCGCCGTGGGCCCAGCGCTGCCTGGCGCTGGCCCTCCTTGGTGCCGCCCGGCGCACAGGGGACCGTGCTGCGCTGTCATGCCTCCACTCCCAGGAATGGGACGTTGAAAGTTAGACTTCAGATGCTGAGCTTTTTCTTCTTTTTTTGACTTAGGACTTTATTTTGATGAGTAGTGCCAGTAGTGTAAGTCTTAAGGAAATGGACCATCTGCCGTCTTAAGCACAGTCATCAAAACTAGTTACAAGGACACACTCTGATTGCTTTATTGTCACTGTTCTTAAGTTACATGATAGATGCTGCGGATCGTGACAAGATAGAACCTTCTCGAAACGAGCTCCACAATCTTCTCGATAAGCCGCAGCTGCAGGGGATCCCAGTAAGTATGGGGAGCTGCTCTCCCCTGGAAGCAGACACTGCACGGGCTGTGTTGGGCTCCCTTAAAGCGTCTTCGGTCGGGCGGAGAGACGGACAGCTTCAGGGCCACGGTGCACGGTCTCCTGGGCGCTGCTGGGGGCACACGCGAGCACCGGCCACGTGGACGCCGGGGGGCCCGGGCAGCACCCAGGCCCTGCCTGCTGGGCTGAGGATTTCCTGGAGCGGCCCATGGGCCCCTGAGCTGCTTGGGGTCCCCTTCCCAAATGTCTTCTCAGACCGGGCAGGGCATGAGGCTGAGTGACCCTTGCAGGAGGCCAAGTGTCCCCCCTGATGCGCACCGCGCCACATGCCCTGTCTGGGGCCGGGGTGTGTGGAGCTGACGGCCACCCTCAGCCCAGCTCCCAGGGCAGAGGGGCGGGTGCCTGGTGGGGGAGAGACGTGAGCCAAGTTTGAGGGTGGCAGAGCCTGACCTCAGGAAGACAGGGAGAGGCGGTTCCTGACGGCAGCGGGGCAGGAGCGGACAGCCTGGCCACCTCAGCGGGCCTGGGAGGGTCCCTGGGGAGCTGGGCTCCACGTGGTGGATGCAGGTGTTTGAAGAAAAATAAGCTCTTTTGACAAGGACTCTTAGGACAGGTTTGTTTTTGTCCATTTGTTTTGCGACCTAGCGGGTAGGCCAGGGTCTGTGCTCAGGAGTGAGGGACGTAGGGCCAGCACCTAGTCCTCTCAGGCCCCTGCAACTCTGGTTTGGTGTTTGTTTTTGGGGGCCAGTTTGGGCCACACCCGGCAGCACTCAGGGGTCACTTCTGGCTCTGCACTGAAGAATTACTCCTGGTGGTGCACAGGGATGCCAGGGATGGACCCTGGGCAGCTGCATGCAAGGCAGATGCCCTACCCACTGACTGCCACTCTGGCCCCAAGCCAGAAGTGTTAAGAGTTTATTTCTCTGTTCTGATAAAGCCATAGATGATTAAGGAAGGAAAGGGTTAAGACTTGCTTCCCTCCCCTTAGTCGCTGAGATCACATTTGCACTGCGTTAAAGATGGACCGGAGACTTAAGGAGTCCTCGTCCTTGGTCAGCTGCAGCGTTTGTGAGACGGGAACGAGCAGCGTCGGTTCCTCAGCTGTGCTTGGCTTGCGAGAGCAGCTATGTTGTGATTTTGACGTGCACGGGTCTGAACGGTCAGCCTGTGTCTTCTTAAGGTGAAAGTCACTCTTGACTGTGTTCTCTTTCAAGGTGCTCGTCCTCGGGAACAAGCGAGACCTTCCCAACGCCTTGGATGAGAAACAGCTCATCGAAAAAATGTACGTGTGCGTGACCGCGTGCAGGAGGAGAGGGTCTCCGCTCTCCACTCCACTCCTGGGCTCAGCCTTGTCCCGTAGTGACGTCACGAGGATAGCCTGTGGGCGGGTCGGGCCACGGGCCGTCCCGAGCCATGCACCCTCCTGTGGGCATAACCGAGAAGTCGTGTCTTAGAAGCGAAATAGGAAAATCTTTGATGGAACTGCTTGAGCGCAGGCTTACTCTTGGTTCTGCCTTTTCTAGGAATCTCTCTGCTATTCAGGATAGAGAAATTTGCTGCTACTCAATCTCGTGCAAGGAAAAGGATAATATAGGTGAGGCGCGTGGGCGCTGGGCTGCGGCGGTTCCCATGCTGGGCCTCACGTCTCTGCGTGTGCTGGGCCGTTCCTGTCCCTGACGCTGTGTCTGGGGCGCTCCTGCTGTCGCCTCTCTTGGCAGCGTGGTCGGGAAGGCCCCGTGGCCATGTGGGAGACCAGGATGGATGTGTGTGTGGTTTGCGTGAGGAGAAGGGGTTGACCCAGAGGGTAGAGCCTGTGGACAGTCCCAGCATCACGCCGTCCACCCCAGGACACTCAGCTGTGATGTCAGTGTGGTGGAAGAGCCCTGTTTCCACCGTCCTGAGAGTCGTGCACCTGCCGAGTGAAACCCAGACACCCTCATTCTTTTTCTGGGGGGCGGGGCGCGTGGTGGGAAGGAAGCCCCTTAAAAAGTCATTTGTGTCTGTATGGTAGCCTGCCTGTGGGAGGAGATTTTGTTTTCATGTTCGGGTAATGCAAGGGCTCCCTGAATCCAAGAACTGTCTGCATTGTTGCTGCCTCATCACGGAAGCTCGTGCCGCTGCTGGGGTTCTGGGCGGGAGGCACTGGCCCTGGCCCGGGGAGACCCCTCCATGTGGGCCGCCTTCACACCAGCCCTTCTGGGCGACGGGCCGGGGTGTTTGGGAGCTTCCCCTGCTCTGCGTCTGGCCGCTGAGACTGCGGGGCTGAGACCACGTTCGTCTCCTAGGCTCGGGGCCGAGCTTTGAAGAGCCCTCGGTGCAGTGCTCGGCTTCCTGCAGCCTCACCGACTTTCCCGGCTGATCTCAGCGCCCTCGGCTTGGGCGGCCACCGGGCGGGCCCTGTTGCTGAGGCGTGGTGCCTAGGGGCGGTGCCCAGGGCCAGTCGGGGGTGCTGTTCCGACGCGCTAGGGTGCCCTGACACCCTCTCTGTGCCTCTGCCCGCAGATATCACTCTCCAGTGGCTTATTCAGCACTCGAAGTCCAGAAGAAGCTGAGGCCGCGTCTCCGGCCGCTGCTTCCCGCTGTGCTCCGGGCACCGTCCGTCCCTCTGAAGTTCTTCCAGAATATGGCCCTTCCCAAACCCAAGAAATTGCCTTTTTCAGAGTTCCTTTCTCATGTGCGCTGCTGAAGATGTGTACCCCTCGTCCTCCATCCTGAGTCAGCTAGAGTTGTCGCGATAAAGTCGGCACACAAACGGCTTCTTACACTTACTCGTCTCAAACAGCGTGTAGGGCTTTTTTGAAAAGAAAAACGTTTTGACCATCTTAAATCAAGAAAATTGCTTCTTTCAGTTCTGGCCTTTGGGGCCAGCTTTTTATATTGGTTTCAGTAACTGTCTCTGGTCCTTCCCCGTAGAGCCCAGCGGCTCCCACTGACACTGACTTGGTAGCGCATGGAGTTTCTTGTGCCGCACACACAGTATTTAGAAAAGCTTCCGCCTGACTCCTGGGGGCAGGAACTTCATGTTTCTGATCTCCCCGATGCATGTGAACTGTCCACTTCCGCCTTGGGAACCAGCCGAGGGTCGCAGTCCGCTCGCGGCGGTTGGGCCGTCCCCCGCCTGGGGTCTGGAAAGGGCCCACGGCGGCGGGGAGCCGGGGAGCGAGGCATGCGTTTTCTATCTGTCCAGATCATTACTCCTGTATATTTTCTCTCTCTTCTTTTCTGGTTCACCACACTTTCTAAGGGACTGGGAATCGAAGATTTTCGCAGAAGCTTTCATGAATTTAGAGCATCCCAGCCCGTACAATAAACCTGTTACGAACTTGGGACCGCGCAAAGCCCCGTCTGTTCTCGGCCCTCGGCTCTGTGCTGCTGCAGCTCGCGCTCTGGCCGGCCCTGACGGCCAGCCCCGAGGCGACGCTCAGCTGGGAGGCAGGACTGGGAACCCCCCTGATCCTGGGCAGCAGGGTCGAGACGCCCCTAGGCCCGTGCTCTGAGGGTCACCCTGAGGGTCTGCACGGGATGGGGACCCCACGCGCTTGTCGCTGTGTCTGTGATACAGAGGCCCCCGAGAACAGTGACCAGGGCTGCCGACGCCAAGGGCTCTGCACGGCCGTCCGCTGGCTCTGCACCCCGTGTGCGATTCTGTGTCCCGGTCCGGCAGTGCTCCTGTGGCCAGGCCATTTCCAGGTGGCCGCGCTCCCTGAGGCCCAGGGCGGGCCGTTCCTCCGGCCAGCTCCATTTTAATTCCCGGACTGCTGCGGCCTTAACATCCCGCACAGACTCGATTTCCCTGGCAGAGACCCAGTTGGATCTCTGCTCTGACGTCCTCCTCCTCGGAGCAGGTGCACGCCCCGTGTGTGTGTGTGTGTGTGTGTGTGTGTGTGGAGGGGTGAGCTTGTCCTGGGGGGTGCGTCCAGCCCCACTCGAGCCCCGCGCCCGGCAGTGAGGGGGGGCAATCGGCTTGTGCTGGAAAGAGGGGCTGGCCCGGGCGCACCCGGGGGCCACAGGGCTGTTGAGCGACCGCGTTTGTCTCTGCTTCCCAGTCCCAGCATTTCCCTGTGCATAACCTCTGCATGTGGAATCTTAATAGTTACTGAACTTTGTAAATATTGGAATTTTTTATTTAGGTGGATGCATTTTTGTCTGTTGACTGCTCTTCTCAGCTTTATTCAATAAACTTGCATTCTGAGGGTTGTATTGACGATTTCACTTAAAACTGTATCATCATGGAAGGTGCTGACCGGGGAGGGGGCTGGAAAGAGTTCTCTTGGGCAGGTTCCGCAGATTGCTGGGAAGAAGCAGCTCAGCTCTCGAAGAATTGGGTCTGTGGGCTAGTTAAAATAGAAATAAACTTTTAAAATACCACCAGCACGGCCGTTGCGATTTTTTTTTGGGGAGGGAGGGTTGGAGGAGTGGTGGAGGGAGATGCCATTTTGTGTGTCATTAGAGTGTATCCTGATGTCAGATGAGCTCTCTAAGGGGAAGCAGCGAGGGCCTTAAACATCTCACAGTTCTGCTGATTGCAGATGTATAAATCACAAATAAACCGAAGTCACAGCATCTGCCTGCTTATGGCTTCAGTTCGCGAACAGGAGGAGTGAGTCACAGCCACGGTGACACTTCCCCACGGCGCCTGTTTCACGTGTCCTTAGTCCCAGGGTCCCCCTGGGCCTTGTTGCTCACACATGGAGGGGTCCCCCGACGATATTCGCACGGGCGCGGCCGGGACCTCCCTGACTAGGGCCTGCGGGCTGTCCTGTCGGTCAGGACAAGGCCGAGGGTTGGACCCGCTGTGCCAGGGACCAAAGCCTGGCGTGTGCCCTGGACACAGCACTGCCCCCTGCCCCGTAGTGGCACCTCTTTTAAAACAAAGGTGGTTTCATTTAGGCTCCATGGTTTAAAATGGCGCCCCTGCTAGATTTTAAGGCCCACAGTGTTCCAACAGCAGTGGCACCATCAGTGCCCCCGAGTTTCCTCCTCTCCCCCATCAAAGGAACTTCTTTATTTGTTAGATTTGTTTTGGGGCCACCCCTGGTGATCCTCAGGAATTACTCCTGGCTCTGCACTCGGCGTTACTCCTGGTGGTGCTCGGGATGGTGTGAGGATCAGACCTGGGGGGGTCAGCCGAGTGCAAGGCAAGAGCCCGATCCGCTGGACTCTCTCCAGCCTCAGCGGCACCTTGTTAAACATTTGGGTCTAGAGAGAGATTGTACAGAGAATAAGGTGCCCTGAATGCGTCCGGCTTCAGTCCAGTGCCTGGTACCGTTTTCATCCCGAGTGCAGAGCCAGCCAGGAGCAGCCTGTGAGCCCATGAGCACCCCCCGTCCCTGCCAATAAAACCCAATATACATCTACTTGGAGTCGCAGTTTTCTGTCTTTTCACTCAGCTTCGACTTGGCGGTCCTCTACCCATTACGGTATAGCTAAACCTTGCTGGCCAGTTGGACGCATTCGTGTTTCTGAAAAGGCCAGAAGTTTGGAGGACATCAAATTTAAATTCTGTGAATTGAAGGAACCAAACTTGGTCAAGAAATCTGTCCCTCTTGGGGCTGGAGAGAGGAGCCCTTACCGTCCAGCAGGGTAGACACTTGCCAGGCACGTGGCCACCTTGGGCTTGGACCTGGGTACCACATACGGCCTCTGGACCCTGCCGAGAGTGACCCCTGGGACTGCTGTGAGACTGCTTTGGGCTGGAGCGTTCAGCAGGTAAGGCGCTTGCCTTGCACTCGGCTGAACCTCCAGGTTTGATAGCCGGCATGTGGCCCCAAACCCAAAACAGTGGGAAGAATTTGGCTCTTAGGTGCCTTCCGATGAGGGAGAAGAGGAGGGGTGCAGGGAAGGAAAGGGAGGGGCAGAGAGAAGTAGGGCCGGAGGGAGAGGGAAGAACGTGAACAGATTTCCAGAGTTCGTCTGGGGGTGGGTCGCATGCGTGGACCGTGGCTCGGCACCTGTGGCCGTGTGGCTGGCTGCCTGGGTCATCTGCTCCCCGCGACAGAACCCTGTGGGGGATTGGGTCATCCCGGCCTCGGGGGGTGGCGTTGAGGAGGGCTGGAAAGAAGCCCACGCCATGCCCGCGCCCCAGCCCGCTGTCTGGTGGCAGGGAAGACAGCGGGGCAGGGGAACGTGCCCCTTCCCAGGCCCAGCGGCCGTTTCCTGCCGATGACTGCCCTCCTCGCAATGCCTCTGCAGACTCGGCTTCCAGCACTGCCTCTGGGGGCTGGAGGGTCCCAGGGGAACCTGCCTGTCAGCAGCTTTGGGATTCATTTATCCATCCCCCTCAGGAGCACGCGCTCCGGTGAGGTCATTCCCGCTGCGAACTCAGGAAATGCTGATTGTCCCACGGGATCGGCACGGGGAGGAGGCCCCGTAGCTTCAGTCGACCAGACTCAGCTCCTGGATTCAGGATCGAAAAGAGTTGTTGGTTTGCCGTGCTGGTGTCAGGACCAGAGAGAACACAGTGGGCCAAGAGGAACACCCGAGTACTTTGGGGGGAGGCCCCAGATGCCCTCCCCACGCCTCTCCCCCTGCCAAATGTTGATTGAAGGCTCGGGGGGGGGGTGCAGCTCCACCATGGGGCCAGCCCCAAGCACCCCGAACCTCTGAAGGAGCACGGGCAGCTGGCCCTGACAAGGGCCCTGAGCAAAGTGAGCGGTGAGTGGCTGAGTTTGTTCAGACGAAGGGCAGGGGCTGGAGTGATAGCACAGCGGGGAGGGTGTTTGCCTTGCATGAGGCCAACCCAGGTTCGATTCCCAGCATCCCATAGGGTCCCTCAGGCACGGCCAGGCGTAATTCCTGAGTGCAAAGCCAGGAGTACCCCTGAGCCTCGCCGGGTATGACCCAAAAAAGCAAAAAAAAAAAAAAAAAAAAAAGGGGCAAAAGAGTCCAGAAACAACTTCCTCCTCGAGGCAGGTGGGGTGGCCAGCAGAGGGGCAGTGGTGGAGATAGCCAGGCTCCGGGACACTCCGTGCTGCTTCTGTCGGAGCATCCCAAGCCAGAAAGGTCACTGTGCATTGGGACGGAGTGGCAGCCTCAGTGACAGAGCCCTGAGCCTTGGAAGGCGAGCCGGCGGAACGGCTTCTCGTGAAGAGCGTGCAGCTGCCCCCTCGACTTGGGGCCGAGTGGCGCTCGAGTCGTGGCTTGGTTCACAACTGCTGTTTGCTGGGTGCGACTAGAGTGTTCTCACCGCTCGGAGGAACTGAAAACATGTCGGGGAGAAACTCCCGGAAAGTGGAAGAGTTGGGTTCTGCTGCTGACGCGGCCCCTCTGCCACTCACGTCGCCTGCTGTTCCCGGCAGCGTCCCGCAGAGGATGGCCGTGGGATGCAGCTGAGGCGCATCGTTCCTAGCTGCACGGTCTTGTCTTCAGGCCTTTTTCCAAGGTGCCGTCTTCAGCCAGTGGCTCCCTCCCCAGAGCCAGTCAGCGATGGCAGGAAGGAGGACTTGGGGCTGGAGCCATAGCACACGGGGAGGGCGTTTGCCTTGCATGCAGCCGACCCAGGTTCGATTCCCAGCACCCCTAGGGTCCCCCAGCACCACCAGGAGTCATTCCTGAGTGCAGAGCCAGGAGGAACCCCTGTGCATTGCTGGGTGTGACCCAAAAAGAAAAAAAAAAAGAAAGAAAGAAACTTGCTCTTAGCAGCCAGCCTTCGCTTTCTTCATCCTTTTGAGGAGGCTTGAGGACCAAAGGCCTGAGCGCCTGGGTTCTATTCCTGCCACTCTATGGTCCCAGAGCACTGCTGAGAGTAAAACCCAAACCCAAACCAGAAATGGTTGCCTGCACCCTACAGCTTTGGAAATGTCCGGATTCCAGAATGTTGGTACCTGGAAACTGCTGTCAGCCTGTTGATAGTGAAGTGTTTTTTTTTTTAAGTTTCATTTTTCATATTTTTGGCTTTCTGAGTCACACCCAGCGATGTAGAGGGGTGACTCCTGGCTCTGCACTCAGGAATTACTTCTGGAGGTGCTTGGGGGATTATACGGGATGCTGGGAATTGAACCTGGGTCAGCCGCATGCAAGGCAAACACCCTCCGCGCTGTGCCATCGCTCCAGCCCCGTGAAGTGCTCATTAAGGGGTGGTGTCTGCGGACAGCTGAGTCAGGGTCGCACACAGACTCCGTTCTGTCCCTGAACCCATCCCTGGCGCCAGCCAAGCAGAGCCACACCCAAGATGCCCCTGAAGGTGCCGGGGGGGCACGTTTGCTGGCATCCAACCCGGGCACGGTGCTTGCCAAGCACATGCTCCTGTCAACTGAGCTCTCACTGGCCCTAAGAAGCTTCTTTGTTTTTGGTGGGGCTCAGGAGACCATCTGGGGTGCCAGGGATGCTGGTGGGCCCTATGCCAAGCAAGGGCTTCACCCTCTGTACTACTCTGCAGCCCACGGAAACATGTGTTTAAAGGCAGTAAAGTACATGTTCGTCAGCTGACCAACAGGTTTCAACCACTGGTTTCAGTTGCCAAATGCGACTAAAGAGTCACCTGGTGGACAGCAGACACAAGGGCCAGGAATATTGCCCCATAGTTGGCAGCCTGCCTCATGCACTGGGGGAGAAGGCAGCTGGGATAGAGTCACATTGGCACTAAGTCCATGATGGTTGGAGGGATCGCTCGGGATGGGAGATGTCTGCTGAAAGTAGATAAAGGACCAAACGTGATAACCTCTCGGGGTCTGTATTGCAAACCATATGCCCAAAAGGAGAGAGAGAGTATGGAGGAAATTGTCTGCCATGGAGGCAGGGGGAGGGCTGGAGGGGGGGGGTATACTGGGGACATTGGTGGGGAATGTGCACTGGTGGAGGGATGGGTGTTCGATCATTGCATGGCTGAAACTCAAACTTGAAAGCGTTGTTACTGTATCTCACGGCGGATCAATAAAAAAAAAAGTCACTTGGTTATTTTTGTTTTGTTTGGCCACACCCAGTGATGCTCAGGGCATACTCCTGGCTCAGTGCTCACGGATCAGGCCAGGGAGTGCTTAGGAAAAGGTGGATCTACGGAAGAAACTCGGTGTGGCCACATGTGAGGCGAGGGCCTTACCCACCTCGGCCGGCTCTCTGGCCCCCAGAGCGAGTCGCTCTCTGGGGTGTTCTCACCAATCGGAGGTTCAGTCCCTGATGGTAGAGATAGCAGAGACCCATCCAAACTGGCGACTCCAGACATGTGGAATCAGGCGAGTTTTCAATTGTTGTTGGTCTATGTTCAGTTTCGCTCCTGGCCCTACTTCGAGGTTTTCTCCCAAAACAGTGTTTTGGAAACTGGAAGGGCCTGGCCTCATTTTCCCGTGTTCCTGGGGGTGTGTGTGACTCAGTTGCTTTCCTCAGTTCTGGTCTTCAGAAGCTCCCGGCCGAGACGTGGTAAGAACCCTGCACTTGTAGCACTGGTGCAGGCACATCATTCGCATGAAACGATCCAATTCTTACCAGTGCCAGTGGGAGTTCTGGTCTTTCTGTTTTGGGGTCAGGACTTCCTCCTGGCTCCGCACTCAGGGCTCACTCCTGGCAGTGCTCAGGGGCCGAGGGGGATGTAGGGAAGCAAACCTGGGCTGGCCACATGCCAGACAAGTGCCCTACCCACTGTATTCTTGCTCGGAGCGTTTTCTTTAAAAGTAGCCTTATTGGGGCTGGAGCGATAGCACAGCGGGGAGGGCGTTTGCCTTGCACGCGGTCGACCCGGGTTTGATTCCCAGCATCCCATATGGCCCCCTGAGCACCGCCAGGAGTAATCCCTGAGTGCAGAGCCAGGAGGAACCCCTGAGCATCGCTGGGTGTGACCCAGAAAGGAAAAAAAAATTAAAGTAGCCTTATTTCAGAATGGGGAGAGTAACTAACTGACCACGAGCGAGGGACCCAGTGCAGGGACCCATGAGGCCAGAAGGTGGCAGAGCCTGAGCTGAGCCGCAGGACTCGGGTGGAGACAGTGGGCACTGTCCACTGTGTGCTGAGGAGGAAACAGGTGCAGGAAATCGGTCCACGCTGCCAACACCTGGAACTCCTGCTTCAGAGTCCGGGTTCTGGGTGTCGTCTCTGCGGTAGGGACTCTAGGTGGTTTCCGGCAAAAGTACATCTCGGTATCTTCCTTTCAGTCCCCTGAAGCTCCTGTGAGATGCCACGTGGAAAGCCCCACCACAAAACGGACCTCATGGACTTGCCAACAATGGGTGTTGTCCGAGGCTTACAGTCCTGTTTACCTGGAGAAGGCCTGGTGGGGTCTGCAGACCTGGCCGAGGACACTGCATTTCCTTGGGATTCGGGTCACTCTGAGAAGGAAGCACTTCCCTGGCCCTCCCCTGCACCTTAGGCTGTGCCTTGCAGGAGACTGAGTCGTTCTGTGTCTCCACTGAGGCTTGGGAAGGGGAGTGAGGCCAGCCTAGTGACTGACACCTGGGGTGGCAGACGGTGGCCCTTTTCCGGCCAGTTGTTCCCGGCCCAACTCCTTTCTGGCTCCTGGAACGCACTTAGACGTGTGTCACTGACCGCCATTCGCTTTTCAGAAGTCCACGTCTGTCTCTGGTCACGGGAGTTTTGTTTTTATGGGCTTGTGCCTAGGGTTTGTCAGGAGCAGCAAATCCCTCCCTTGTGTCACAAGTGGAAACTTCAAAATTAGGCGGAAAAGCTGGACCCTGAGCAAACTCTGCCTGCTGGAAGCCTGGGTTTGATCCCCGAGCACTGGGGGGTGCAGCCCTCCCAAACCTCTTAGGTTTTACCAAGCTGCAGCTCAGCAGATAAGGAACCAGGCAGTCCCGAGCTGACTCTCCACACCCGGCAGCCGAGTTTGTGCTCCTGCAAGGCTTATCCTCTGCATCTCTCAGAGTGGAGAAAAAGCAGAATTTTCTTGGCCAGACTTGGCCTCATGCTCTGCTTAAGACTCTTACTGCTTGGCTGACTCCTCACCAGGATCTAGGGAGGCAGGAGGGCAGCCAACCTGAAGGGCTTCTCAGTCAGTGCCAGCTGCTGTCAGAAGCCGGTGCCTGTCACGCCTCAGCAGGCTAAGGCCGTGCCTCCATCCCCCTGACTCACTTCTCTGCATGCGGCCAAGGCCAGCTGCAGGCTCCCGGCTCCCAGCTCCCGGCCACGCAAGCCCCAAGCCCGTTTCCCAAGCCTTTCAGGAACCAGTTTAACAGGCCCAGGGCGGGAAAGAGGGCAGACCCGAATGGACGGTTTCCAAACCGGGAAGAGGAGCCGAAGCCCCAGGAGGCGGAATGAGGGTCCAAAGCTTTGCAGAGCTGGTGCTGGCAACCCCCTGAGGTGGGAAGCAGGTGCAAGGGGGGGGCGGGGGGGCGTGACCCCTGTGGGCATCCGGGCAAGCCGCTGAGCGTGCAAGAGCACAGTTCAGTATTATCTCCCGGACCCGCCAGGCGCCGAGAGCCCCCCGCGAGCCCTCGTCTCCCAGGACCCCGGGTCCCCCCGGCCCCCCACGGGGCGCGCAGAGACGACGCAGCACTCCGGCTCTGCGAGGCCCCCCGGGCCCAGCGGCCGCAGGGGCTGCCCTCCCGGGCCTCCGGGCGCGCGCCCTCGGGCCGGCCGGCCTCGGGGGCGGACGGGTCGGGCCACGTCCGCATCCGGCGTGGGGCAGCGCTCCGTGCCGCGCGCCCATTGGCTGCAAGTTCTCCGCCCGAGCCCCGAGCGGCCGGGGCGCGCCACGCCAGCTCTTCCGCGCTGGGGACCGCCCGGGGGCGGGGCCCGGCGAGGGGCGGGGCCCGGGCTCCGGGGGCGGGGCCTCGGCGGCGCGGCGGGGGGCGTGGCCGGCGCGGGGCGGGGCCCGGGCTCCGGGGGCGGGGCCTCGGCGGCGCGGCGGCGGCGGGGGCGTGGCGGGGGCGGGGCCGGCGCGCGCAGCCGGGGCGGGGCGGCGGCCGCCGGGGCGGGGCCGGGGCGGGGCCCGGCGGGGGCGGCGCGGCGCGCGCCGGAGCCCCGGGCGGCGCCCCGCGAGCCGGGAGGCGGCCGGGCCAATCGCGGGCGGGAGCGCGCGGGGCGCGGGGCCGGGCCGGGCCGGCCGGGCCGCGGGCCGGCGGGGCCGGGGGCGGGCGACAATGGGCCGGTTCCGGGCGCGTCACGGGGGAGTTCCTTAAAGGGGCCGCGCGCGGCGGCGGCGCGGGCGGGCCCGAGGCGCAGGATGCCCGCGGGCCGGCGCGGCCATGCCCTGGCGAGCGCTCGTGCTGGCGCTGCTGCTGCTGCGCCTGGGCCTGCACGCGGCGCTCTGGCTGGCGCTCGGCCCGGGCCCGCCGCCCCCCGGCCCGGCCTGGCCGCGGCCCCGCCCGGCGCCCGCGGGCCCCGCGCGGCCGCCGCCCCCCGCCCCCGCCCCCGCGGGGGGCGCCGTGGGGCGCGGGCCGCGGGCGCGACGAGTACGAGCGGCGCTACGCGGGCGCCTTCCCGCCGGGGCTGCGCGCCCGCATGCGCGACCGCGCGCGGGGCATGTTCGTCTTCGGCTACGACAACTACATGGCGCACGCCTTCCCGCAGGACGAGCTCAACCCCATCGACTGCCGCGGCCGCGGCCCCGACCGCGGGGACCCGTGAGTGCGGCGCGGGCGGGCGGGCGGGGGCCCCGGGACCCCCCCGCGCGCAGCCCCTCCACGCTCACCCGGGGCCCGGGACCCCCCCCAGCCAGCCCCTCCACTCTCCTCCCCCGGGCGCCCACCCAGCCCCTCCACACTCTCCCCTTGAGCCCCGGGACCCCCCACGCGCAGCCCCTCCACGCTCACCCGGGGCCCGGGACCCCCCCACGCGCAGCCCCTCCACGCTCACCCGGGGCCCGGGACCCCCCCAGCCAGCCCCTCCACTCTCCTCCCCCGGGCGCCCACCCAGCCCCTCCACACTCTCCCCTTGAGCCCCGGGACCCCCCACGCGCAGCCCCTCCACGCTCACCCGGGGCCCGGGACCCCCCAGCCAGCCCCTCCACTCTCCTCCCCCTGGGGCCCGGGACCGCCACCCAGTCCCTCCACTCTCCCCCCGGGCGCCCACCCAGCCCCTCCACACTCTCGCGGGCCCTTACACTCTTGGGAAAACCCCACAGGCCCCTAACTCTCCCCCAGGAGCCAGGGACCCCCAACAGGTCTCTACTCTCTTCCCCAGGGAACCCCCCCTCCACACACACACAGGCCCCTCACCCCATTACCCCGCACAGGCCCCTCCACTTTGTCCCAGGAGCCCGGGAACACCCCCCCCAAACAAAAGCCCCTCCATTCTCCCCCAGGATCCCCCCACAAGCCCCTACACTCTCCCCCTCTGCCCCCCTTCCATCCATGACCTCGCAGTCCCCCAGGAGCCTGTGACCCCCAGATGCCCCCCACCCCCGCCTTGCACTCTACTGGTCTCCTGTTGGGCCCCCACCCCCACCCCCTTGGGCTGCCCAGAGGGAAGTTGTGCTGGAGCCCTGGGTGTGACGGGCTGGACTGGACCCGGACGGAGGGCATTTGAGGGGGTTTTCTCGGTGGGCCCAGGCTCCCTGGTGTGTGGCCGGGCCACCTCCTGCCTGCTGGCCTTTGTCTGGGCGTGGCCGGGTGTGACAGTTCGAGGGCTGAGGTCAGGCCTGCTGGAGCACAGCAGCGTGGAGGGCGGCACTGGGGGCTCGGGCTGCCCCCGGGAGCTGGCAGCCGCGGGGTCTTCCTGCCCTCCCCTCCCTTCCGCACCTCTGGGAGTGCTGGGCCCAGTGACAGCCCCTGACCCGGAGCCCCAGGGCGCAGGGGCGGCTCTGAAAGGCCAGGCCGTCCGACCCCTGAGGGTAGCTCAGCGGGCTGTGCAGGTGGCCCAGGTGGTCCTGGCAGATGCGCCACGCGCTCTTGTGCGCGGGGCCTGACCCGCCTGACGGAACCAGAGCCAGCCCCGTGTGTGTCCACCTGCGACTGCCCGCGGGGTTCTGTGCCGGCGGGGCCGGCTCGACGGAGCAGGTCCGTGTTCCAGGCCGTCTACGGGAAAGTGACCGCGGCTCAGGCCCTCGGGAAGCCGTTGCGGTCTCTGCCCACCCCTGCTGGCCACTGAGCTGCGGCTCCTTTCCTCCTCGGACTCTGTCGATGGTCCCCTGGCCCGTCCCCCTGGCCGGCTGGCCCTGTGGCATGTGGAGCCTGGTGCTGGGGGCTGGGGGGTCTCTGCCTGCCCCCTCCTGGGCCCTGGCACAGCCTCGGCGTCCAGGCTGTGTGTCAGGGGCTCCCGGTGCCCCCGGCTCAGATTTGGGGTGAGCAGGGCCTTCAGATGGCAGCAGGGTTGTGGTGAGCCCTGGGCTGTGCAGAGGAAGTGGGGGGCGGGGTCTGGGGGCCCCTCCCCCTTCCTGCCGCAGCTTGCCCTGCCCCCAGACACCCAGACACCCGCGGAGCTGAGCACCTGCTCTCGCTGGCTCCTCCTGCAGGTGTCCGGTCCCTCTGGGCGGCACTTGCTCAGCGCCCCCCAGAATGGGCAAGCAGAAGCCAGTGTGGCCAAGAGGAGAGAGGAGGTGGCAGTGGCCCGTCTCGCTAGTTTGTCTGAAAATGTTCCCGGCATGGAATCTCAGACCCTAGACCCAGGCTGAGCTCCCAGCACCCAGTCAGTACCCAGCACCGTGGGACGCACCGGGGTGCGTGGAGCTGGCCGTGCAGTTTGTTCCTGTTGAAGTGGGAGGATTCGGGCCCATTGCTCGGAGCTGTGGAGGCTCCTGGGCCCGAGGGTGACTGCAGCGGATTTGAAGGGGGCTGCAGAGGGGCGAGGCCTCTGGCCCGTTCCCTCACGCCGCTGACTCTCAGGGGCATCTTAGTTCTTATTCCCGGCGTCCGTAGCTCCTCTCCGGGTCTGCAGGCACGACCCCGAGGGTCCCCAGCCGCAGGCTTCTTGATTTTTTAAAATTTATTTGTTTATTTTGCTTTTAAAATAAAATAAACCCAGTGATGCACAGGGCTTCCTCCTGGCTCTGGGCTCAGGAATCACTCCTGGCGGTGCTTGGGGGACCCTATGGGCTGCTGGGATTCGAGCCCAGGTTGGCCGTGTGCAAGGCAAACGCCCTCCCCGCTGTACTGTAGCTCCAGCACCCCAGACCGTTTCTTATCCTGCCCGCCACCCTGCGGAGTCCGAGCCTCGGGCGTGAGCAGCGCTCGAGCAGTGTAGGTGCTGGGACAGGTGGGTGTCCCCCAGGGCCCCTGTGACTTGGATCCCCCCAGGCAGGCGAGAAGTAGGTCCTGCCCCGGCCGGAGGGCCTCCTGGTGGCTGGGTGACACCCGGCTGCCCAGCCACCCTTCCATGTGATGGCCCCCGCCAGCCCCTGGGACTTGCTCTGCCCTGCTTGTCCTGGTGGTTTGGGTGTCAGAGATCTCGGGCTCGGCAGAGAGACGGATTACGTTTGCTGAGGAAACGCCGCCAGGGAGGGCAGAGACCCTGGGCACGCTCCCGGCTCCCGGCTGTGCCGTGCCGGCCACCCCCATTCTTGCTCCCTGCGGTCCGGGATGGGTTTCCGGCGGCTGCTGAGTTTCACTGTATTTTAGTTTATTTTTTTCTGCTCTCTTGTGAAAACAACGTTCCCCTGTTTCATCCTCTCTCTTTTTTTCCAGTTCAAACCTGAATATCAATGATGTCCTCGGGAACTACTCCTTGACGCTGGTCGACGCGCTGGACACGCTGGCAGTGAGTGTCGGGTCTGCCTGCCTGTTGTCCGCTGGACTCGCCCGGCCGCCCCCGGGGAAGCAGCTTGCCCAGGAAGTCTCATGGGGCCGCCGACCCAGCCCTGGCTCGCTCTCAGTTCCTCCGTGGCCGCGTCTGCCAGTCAACCGCGGACGGGAGCAGTTCCTCCCTCTGAGTCCCTCGGAGACCCGCGGGTCTCACAGAAGCTCACAGTTTGCGGTGTCCACACTGGATGCCCAGCTGAACCCCGGAGCCTGCCTGCGTCTGGGGCCCACCTGGGGACTGTGGACGGATGCATTGCTGGGCTGGTGCTGGCCGTTACCCGTGGCTCCCTGGCCGAGGCAAGGGGACTGTCACGGCTTCCTCTCTGCCGTGGCCCGCGGTCCACGCAGAGAGGGCCGGCCGGCCGAGTCCACCCCGGTCTCCTGGACTGGAGAATTACCGGAATGTGGGTGACCGCAGTGCTCAGGTCTCATCCCAGCAGTGGCCGGGTCCGGCGTCCCCTGGGGAGGCACATGGCCGCCCCTGCCCACCCCAGTACGCCGAGAATGTGCCCTGACATGCCCGTCCAGGTCCTGCTTGCCTGGGCGCCCTCTCTGCTGTGCACCTGAGGGCGGCTGCCCCCCTCCCGGTTGGACCCCAGCAAGACCCTCTTCCCCGAGCTGGAGGGGTCTGCGTGGGGGTCTCGTGGCTGGGGCTTGTGCATGGCCGCCCGGAGCACCCGGGACAGACATGTGACGCCCCCGTCTGTCCCGTCCAGGCCCCGTCTACGCTCCGGGTGCAGGAGGGCCCCAGAGGAAACGGCCCTGCCCCGGGGCTTCTCGGCAGAGGGTCGCAGCCGTGCTCCCCGTGCTATTTGGGGACGTTTCTCCCGAGCTGCACCAGATGCAAGGGCGACCCTGCGGCCTTGGACACAGGATCTTTTAGAAGATCGGCCCGAAAGGGACCCCGGGCCTGCAGCCATTCCCACCCTCCCTGCGTCTTTGTGGTGCTGTAGACCCGAGACGTGTCAGAGTTTGGAGACACGGAAGCGTGTCGGCACGCCTTGCTCAGAGACGCGGAAACCACCAAGTCTGTGACACTCATTGCTCTGTCCCCTGAGGCCCGAGCCAGGTGCCGGGCCTCTGGGCCGCATTTGGCCAAGTTCACGCAGGGCGCAGAGCACTCCGCGCCGAGCACAGGCCCAGGTTCCATCCCACAGTGCTCCCTGAGCACCCCTGGGAATGACTGTCAGGCTCCGCCTGGCGTGTGGCTCCAGAACCGGCCAACGGAACCCCAGGCCGGCTGGCTACTGGCCTGTCTGGGTTTGGGCACCGCTGTTTCTCCGTATTCCCCTGAGGTCATGCCGGCGTTTCTCAGCCTGCTTGGGCCTGTGGACGAAACGGCAGATCCGTTTCCCAGGGAGTTCCTTCTCCCAGAATTCCGCACCCGAGCTCAGTTTCACGCCTTCACCGGGATTCGTTTCTGCTCATTTGGAAATCGGGGGGGCCGTGTGCTTGGCTTGGGTGCCCTGGACTGGAACTCGGGGCGGGCAGACGGGCCGGTGCTGGTGTGATTCTGCCCCGCGCCCACCTCCCCTCTTGCCACACGCAGATGCCCGCGCGGGGCCGTCTGGGACCCCATCTGCTGCCGACACCGCTCACGTTCCGTTATTTCTCTTTTCCCAGATAATGGGGAATTCCTCCGAGTTCCAGAAAGCCGTCAGGCTGGTGATCGACACCGTCTCCTTCGACCGAGACTCCACCGTGCAGGTGTTTGAGGCCACGATAAGGTACCTCGCCGGCGGCAGGGACGGACGGAGGGGGGGTGGGGCCCTCCCGGGAGGCCGTGGCCAGGCGCGCTCTGGTCTCGGTGCCGCCTGCACGGAGCCCTGCAGGCCCCTCCTGGGCGCTCGCTGGTCTCTCACTGGCCTCCGCCCCCTCCGCCTTCGGGCCCCTCTTTGTTGGTGCTTTGGTTTGGGGGCCGCACCCTGCAGTCAGGGGTCCTGCCCTGGGGGACCCTGTGGGTGTCCTCCCCGCTTGCCCGGCCTCACCCTGCTCGGGCCCTGGCCCCTTCTTGTATCGGCCCCGTCCCACCCCCAGATTTGTGTCCCACGACGATTGTTCCTCTGTCCATTTGGGCTTCCAGAAAGCGCCTTTTGCCCCGAAAGCTGCAGAGCGTGTGGAGCTGAGAGCGGGGCCGGGCGGGGGGCTGGGGCCGCCCCTGGAGCCCCAGGCAGAGGCAAGAGTCGCCCCCCGCCCAGCCCCTGCCCCCAGGGTATGGCCCGGGCCCCCCTGAAACTGCCAGTGCCATGAGCGCTTCTGTTCCGGAGCACTGGAGAGGCCTGGGGCTGGGCGGTGGCGCCCGCTTGGCCCCCCACTTTCCCGGCCTCACCCCGGTGGGGACTTGGTAGCCAGGAACACGGTTGCCTTCGCTTTCTCCCGGGGCCCGTGCCCCCAGTCCGAGGAACTGTGACTCACCGGGAGGGCTCTGCATTCCCCATTCCCACTGCGGGTGTCAGCGCCCCCTGTTGTCCGGCCGCGGCGGCGGCCTTCACTCCGGTGCCTCTGTTGCAGGGTCCTGGGCAGCCTCCTCTCCGCACACAGGATCATCACCGACACCAAGCAGCCCTTCGGGGACATGGCCATCAAGGACTACGACAACGAGCTGCTGCACATGGCCCACGACCTGGCTGTGCGGCTGCTGCCGGCCTTCGAGAACACCAAGACCGGGATCCCCTACCCGCGGGTAGGTCCCCTGCCGAGGGGGCGGGGGCTGAAGTTTGGGTGCTCGTGGGGCCCCGGGGTGCATTCACTGGCCTCTTGCCGAGCCCCCCATGTCCACCCCGAGCGGGGCCACTGCCGCCTGCATGGAGTTTGTCCCAGCTGTGGGTCCAGGTGCGGCCCTGTCAGCCTGTCGCTGAGGGGTCGCGCCGCCCTGCAGCTGCATGGCGAGGTCTGGACTAGGGGCAGGGGGACGCGCGGCCTCTCACCTGTGCGCCCTGCTGGCCGGGCTTGGTTCAGTGCTCGGGGCTGACTCCCGGCTCAGTGCTCAGGGCTCCTTCCTGGCTCTGTGCTCGGGGTCACTCCCGGCTCAGTGCTCGGGGCTGACTCCCAGCTCTCTGCTCGGGGCTCCCTCCCGGCAGTGCCGGGGAACCACAGTGGGTCCTGGGGATCAAACACGGGTTGGCCACAGGCAAGGCTGCTGCCCTCCCTGCCGTCCGGTGTTCCCGCCCCGGCAGTGTCTGTCTCTGCCCCGTGTCCGCAGGTGAACCTCAAGACGGGCGTCCCCCCTGACAGCAACAACGAGACGTGCACGGCGGGCGCGGGCTCCCTCCTGGTGGAGTTCGGGATCCTGAGCCGCCTGCTGGGGGACTCCACGTTCGAGTGGGTGGCCCGGCGGGCAGTGAAGGCCCTCTGGAGTCTGCGGAGCAACGACACGGGCTTGTTAGGTATGCTGGCACCCGAGTCCTCTCCGTCCTCCTCTGCGGGCTGGGCTGGGCGCGGCTGCCCTCCGGGCCGGACCGGCTCCCAGAGTGGCCGAGGGGACAGCTGGACTCCGGGGGCCGTGGTCAGGCCCCGCTCACTTCGCACCGGGCCACGCTCCTGTTCCCTAAGGACTGCGGGGGACCGGGGAGAGCACGGGGACCCAGGTTCTGACCCCCCCACCCCACGAGGCCCCCCGAGCCCCTTCAGGAGTCAGCCCTGCGCCCCGCGGGGCGTGGCCTCCCCCAAGCAAAGGTCCTCTGGATCCAGGAGGCAGCTCAGAGGCAGGAGCGCAGCCTCGTTGGTTCTCCTTTGTGCGTCTTGATTCTGGGCTCTACCTGGCGATGCTCAGGGCTTGCTCCTGGGCCTGTGCTTCTGGGCCACTCCTGGACCTGCTCAGGGAACCACAGGGGGCTGAGGCTCGAACAGGGTCGGCTGTGTGGAAGGTGTCAGGCCCGAGGGCGCTGCTGCTTGCTGGGCCCCGGGCTTCATCCGGGTGCTTGTGGTCCCTGAGCACGAAGCGGAGAGGATTCCTTGAGCACCACCAGGTGTGGCCCCCAAACAAGAGATGGCCACAAAGCTAGTGACCCCCGGTGGGTTTCTGCCCCGTGGTGCTGACAGCCAGAGCGAGCGCCCTCGTGAGGTTGGTGCCCAGAGGCCACCTGGGGGCGCTGCAGGGACCCCTGCGGAGACGATTCTCTTGTTTGACACCAGCACACTCAGCCATCGGAGACGCTGAGTCTGTCCCTGGGGGTGTCCCGGCAGCTCGCCAGCTCTGCTCCATCACCCCCAGCCCAAGGCATTATGGGGCGCCCGGGCTGCCCCGGGTCAGGCAAGCGTCCGTGTGCGCATCTGCCGCCTGGCGTGCAGTTCCTGATTCACGCACCAGAGACCCTTGATTCTTCTCCGGGTCAGCACTTGTATTATTATTACTGTTGTCATTGGTGTCACACCTGGTGTGGTGCTTAGGGCTGACTCCCAGCTCTGTGCTCGGGGCTCACTCCCGGCTCTCTGCTCAGTATCACTCCTGGCTCTGCTCAGGGCTGACTCCCGGCTCTGTGCTCGGAACTGACTCCCAGCTCTGTGCTTGGGGCTGACTCCCGGCTCTGTGCTCAGGGCCACTCCTGGCTGTGCGCAGGGCTCCCTTTTCTTTTTTTTTCAATTTTATTTCAGTTTTATAAAGCTGTTTGCAACAGTTTATTACATTTAATATTCCAGCACCAATCCCGCCGCCATATTTCAAATGCTCCTCCCCCACGCTCTGAGCACGGCCTGTATAATTTATGCTTGTTGTGAGTAATCTGCTAGAAATGATCCAGACAAGGCTTCCTTCTAGGGCCGTGTGTTGGTTTGCCCCGGGAGCCAGGCAGCCCTTGTCTTGGCATGTCAGTGGAGGGGTCGGAGGCGTCGGGGATCACTCCCCGCAGTGCTCGGGTGCCGTGTGGGTGCCCGGGGTGGGCCGTAAGCCGCGTGCAGGGCAGGAGCCCGCCATGCTGCCGCTTCAGCCCTGAGCAGCTGCGTGGTGCGTTTTCCTTACGAAACCCTGCATTGAGGCTCACGGTCCACGGTCCGGTTCCTGGTGGTTTCCCCGGCGCGTTATTCCAACACACCCGTCCCCGCTGGACCCAGCGTCCCTGCTCAGGTCCCCCTCCGAGACGGCGAGTGGCCCCAGCCCCCCTTCCCTCCCAGCCCGGTCGTGGGGTCGGCCTACGCCATCCGTCCGCCTTCGGCTTTGGTTCTCACGCTTCCTTCCCGAAGAGCCTTTTCAGCAACGACCCCCACTCGGGGGTGGCAGCCCTGGGCAGGCGCGCGCCCCCGCGGGTCAGAACGGAGCCGGGACTCTCGTGGGCTAATCCGGCTGATCTCTGCCCGCAGGCAACGTCGTGAACATCCAGACGGGCCACTGGGTGGGCAAGCAGAGCGGCCTGGGCGCCGGCCTGGACTCCTTCTACGAGTACCTGCTCAAGGCCTACATCCTCTTTGGCGAGGACGACGACCTGCACATGTTCAACGCCGCCTACCGCAGCATCCAGAGCTACATGCGCAGAGGCCGGGAAGCCTGCAACGAGGGTGAAGGGGACCCGCCGCTCTACGTCAACGTGAACATGTTCAGCGGGCAGCTGATGAACACGTGGATCGACTCCCTGCAGGCCTTCTTCCCGGGACTGCAGGTGCCGTCTCGCCCCGCCTCAGCCCGGGCTCCGGCCAGGCTGGCCGGATGCTGCCCCGCCCCGCCCCGCCCCGCCCCGCCCCGCCCCCCCCGCCCCTGCAGTCTGGGTGCTGTTGGGGCTGGTTTGTCTCTGCTCGTGCTCGTGGGTAAGAGGAGAACTGGGGTGAGGGACTGGAGATGGCCCGGTGGGCTGCAGAGCAGGGGGCCTGGGGACTGTTTGGTCCCCTGGGGACCTCCAGAAGCCTTCCCCGAGCACTGAGCTTAGAGGAGCACTGAGCACCGCGGGTGTGAAAACCAGCAACAAAATAGGCATGCTGCAGCAGGGGTGAGGGAGTGATGGTCCCAGCAGGGGTTGAGTTAGGGTGAGTCCCAGCAGGGGTGAGGGAGAGTGAGTCCTAGCAGGGGTGAGGGAGTGATGGTCCCAGCAGGGGTTGAGTTAGGGTGAGTCCCAGCAGGGGTGAGGGAGAGTGAGTCCTAGCAGGGGTGAGGGAGTGATGGTCCCAGTAGTGGGTAGGGAGTGATGGTCCCAGCAGGGCTGAGGGAGTGACGGTCCCAGCAGAGGTGAGGGAGGATGAGCTCCAGGAGGGCTGAGGAGTGACAGTCCCAGCAGGGGTTGAGTTAGGGTGAGTCCCAGCAGGGGTGTGGGAGTGATGGTCCGGGAGTGTGAGCCCCAGCAGGGGTGAGGGAGAGTGAGTCCTAGCAGGGGTGAGGGGGAGATGGTCCCAGTAGTGGTTAGGGAGTGACGGTCCCGGCGGGGGTGAGGGAGGGCGCATCTGAGCAGGGTCCCGCGTGCTTCCTGGGGGTCGCGTGTCAGTGCCGCTGTGCGCCCGCAGGTCCTGATTGGGGACGTGGAGGACGCCATCTGCCTGCACGCCTTCTACTACGCCATCTGGAAGCGCTATGGGGCCCTCCCTGAGCGCTACAACTGGCAGCTGCAGGCGCCCGACGTGCTCTTCTACCCGCTGCGGCCCGAGCTGGTGGAGTCCACCTACCTGCTCTACCAGGTGACGCGGCGGGGCCCCATGTCTCCCCGTCCCCAGCGTCCCCACTGCCACAGGGTCGGGGCCTGGTCGGGGCCGAGTGCCCAGCGCCGTGCCCCTGGTCCAGCAGCTCACTGCTGGCATCCCCCTGCGGCCACTTCCGTTAGGTCCTTCCGTGAGACTCTGGTCCGGGGAGCTGCCCTGGCCGCGGGGCCCCCCACCCCCGAGCGTGAGGCCGTGGACACACCGTCACCCTCGTCCGTCCACTCCACGTGGCTCTGGCGACTCCTCACGGCCTCTGGGGGGGACCACTGTCCCCAGAGCTGCCACCTGCCTCGGATGGGGGAGGGAGGGCTCGGCGGGCCTCTGGAGGCCTCAGAGGATATGATGCCCCGGCCGCCGGCTCCCTGCGGTCCGGGCCCTCCCGCCTTCCCCGGGCTCTGCGGGTCCACACAGACCTCAGACTCGTGGCTTCGCCTTGGCAGCTGCTCCATGCAGCCGCGGGTTCTGCCGTGGGTAGCTGTGGCGTCCTCTGCGTGCCAGCTGACACTGGCTCTTAGACTGGAGCCTCGGCCGGAGAGCGCGGGGGCGGGGGCAGGCGGCAGGAGTCACTGGGGGCAGAGTGTGGGTGCCTGGGCCTCTCGGCCCAGAGTCTCGCCCGGCGGGGCAGGGAGCCCCGGGCTGGCCCTCGGGCCCGGCTCTGCCACAGAGCCAGTGTTCGTTTCTGGGCCTGCGGGAGCTGTCCGTGTGGGGGCGGCTTCCAGGCCGGGCAGCCGGGCAGTGGTGGAGCAGGGCTGTGGCGTGCTGGGCTCTGCGAGCCATGAGTCTTGGGCCGTAGACTGCGGGTCGTGTGTGCCGTGGGTCGTGGGCTGTGGGCCATGGGCCGTGGGCTGTGGGCATCTCACTGTCCTCCCCGCCGTGGCAGGCCACCAAGAACCCCTTCTACCTCCACGTGGGCATGGACATCCTGCAGAGCCTGGAGAAGCACACGAAAGTCAAGTCAGTTCTCAAGTTCCCCCCTCCTGCCGCTTATGGGGCTCCCCTGGGGGTGCTGGGGGCCGGGCACGTCTCCCTGTCCCCCGCCTCGCGCGCCCTCTTCCTCCGCCTGCCCTGGGCGTGCTGTCCCCGTCCCTCGGGGAGCGGCCCGTGTGGCCCTGTGTGGTGGGGTCTTGTCGCAGGAGCGGGAGTCTGCCCGCTCCTGGAGTGTCTGCGGAGGTCTGGGTCACAGGCTCCCCGGGTCACCAGGCGTGGGTGCCCTCTTCTGTCTGGGGCGACAGGGACGGAGCGACACTGACACACAGCGATGCCGCGAGCTCAGCCGAGCGGGCTCTTCTCACAGAGCCGGGCATCTGCTGGGCAGCCCCTGTCCAGCCGTTCGGGTCTATGTTCGGTTCTTTTGGGCCGGGGTCCGCCCTGCTGGTGTTGGAGCCCTGTCAGAGGCGCCCTCCCCCCGCGCTGCCGCTCCAGCCCCTCGCTGCTCGCCGGTCAGTCTGTCCTGCCACCCTTGGCCCGGGCTCCGCGTCTCTCCTCCGAGGCGGGGGCCGTGTGTCCTTGGAGCGGCCGCGTCTTTGGCCAGCGCTCCTCGTGCCCTGCCCTGGCGCTTCTCGTGGCGTAGCCGCAAAGCCCCTCGATAGAGAAGCTTGTGGGCCTCGGCAGCCCCTGGGCCTCCGGGCGCGTCCCCGCCCCCCGGTCTGGCGGCAGGAGTGGCCACTCGGCGCCCTGTGTTGCAGGTGTGGGTACGCGACGCTGCACCACGTCATCGACAAGTCCAAGGAGGACCGCATGGAGAGCTTCTTCCTCAGCGAGACCTGCAAGTACCTCTACCTGGTACGGGCTCCCGGCGGGCCCGTGTCCCGTGTCGCTGTGTGTCCCTGTGTCTGCTGGCTTCCTGCTGCGTTTCCCAGCACCTGGTGTACACGCAGGGAGGGCCCGTGGGAGGCTGGACAGTCCCCGTCCCGTGCTAGCCACTCTGCTGGTTCCTCACCAGCGTCCTGCAGGGTCCGGGCTGCAGCCGCCTGCTAAGCCGCGAGACTGGGTGGAGTGAGGCTGCCCTCCCCGCCCCCCCCCCCCAGGGTGCCCCCCGTCCCAGCACACAGCCCAGCCCGCTGACCGGCCCTTTCCTCACTGGCCCTGGAGGGGCGCCTTTAGGGGCTCGGGCCCTACCCGTCTCAGGGCTCCCGCCGGGCTCCATGGCCCTCTGCCTCCTCCCTCTGGTGTTCCCTGGGGTGGGCTGGCTGATCTGGGGTCCCCAGGGACAGCAGCCCCTGCTCTGCGCTGGTCAGACTCTGCCCTTGCCGGGCCCAGGGGTGCCGGGCGCTTTCTGCCTGGCGGAGTCCCCAGCTGTCGGGGGTCCTGAGCGCCATTTGTCCCCCCCCCCCCCCCTCCTCCCCCCCAGCTGTTTGACGAGGAGAACCCGGTGCACAAGTCTGGGACCAGATACATGTTCACGACGGAGGGCCACATCATGTCCGTGGACAAGCACCTGCGCGAGTCTCCCTGGAAGGAGCTGTTCGCCGAGGGCGGCAGGCCCGGCCCGGGGGCCAAGGCGTCTGAGTTACGCATCCTCAACTCCAGCTCCAACGTGAGCGCTGCCCACCCTGCTGCACGGCCGCCCGGGCCCCGCCCTGCCCCCTGGGTGCTGGGGGTTGTCCGTCGGGAAGGGCCCGGTGGGAGGAGCAGCAGCCGTTTCTGTAGCTGGAGGGGGTGGAGTCCGGGGGGCTCCCAGCCCCGAGCCCGGCTGAGGCTGGGGCTGCCCGCGCCCGCTCACCGGCCCTCTCCCCTCCCCCCGCAGTGCAACCGCGTCCCCGACGAGAGGCGCTACTCGCTTCCCCTGAAGAGCGTCTACATGCGGCAGATCGACCAGATGGTCGGCCTGCTCTGACCACCGCCCGCTGGCTCCGGCCCTGCCCGCTCCGCGGTTCTCTCCCGTTCAATAAAGTGTCCTCTTGTTCTGAGCATCCCGAGGTGAGAGGGGGCGGGCCCCGGGCCGAGGGGCCAGGACGCCTGCTCACGTCCCCCGTGGGGTGGCCGCCCAGGACGGACTCGGGACGGTGTCCATCCCCGATCTGTGCCCACGCTGCCGACGTTGGCTGGAGCGCCGCGCGCCGAGCGTGGCGGGTGGCCCTTCGGGACGTGGCTCGCGCTGGCCTTGGACTTCCCCAAGCAACCAGGTGCCTTCCTGGGAGAGACACCCTCGGCCCCCGCTGGCCCCTCTGGGGGAAGACCTGCCTTGAGGGGAGGGGCAGGGGCCGCGCCGCCCTGAGACCACATGCTGGCCAGGGCCAGGGCAGGACACGGAGGACGTGGGAGCCCCCCGGACGGTAGCCCCGCTCTGGGGGGCCTGGCCTGTCACCCCTGCCCGTGGATCGCCTGGTTGACGCTTTCCTCTGCCTTTGGGGTGCTGAGGGCTGGCGCCTGTCTCAGCCTCACCTCGGTTCCATCTGGAACAGTGAATGCTCTTGTTTTTTTTAAGCTGTAATAGGATTCAGTTCTTGGAGATTTCTATAAAGGGACCCTGCAGTGGGGTGTGACCTCTGTCTTTTAAATGTTTATTTATTATACGAAAAAGTAAGAAAAGACGCCACTTTATATGTTGCCTTTTTAATTCTCTCCCTTTTTTTGTTCTTATTTCTTCTTACCTTATTCCTGAAGCACTTTCTTTGTCAACGTGGCCTCATCCGTAGGGGAGAGATGTTTGAGTTCTGTGTCGCGGGCCAGAGCGATAGCACAGCAGGGAGGGCGCTTGCCCAGCACTCAGCCAACCAGGGTTCCGTCCCCGACATTCCATAGGGTCCCCCGAGCACCGCCAGGAGTAACTCCTGAGCGTAGAGCCAGGAGTAAGCCCTGAGCACCTCTGCGTGTGGCCCCAACGAACAGCAACAAACTGCAGTCTTTGCACTGAGTCAGCCCCAAATGCTCCATCCTGACATGCGTGTGCGCACGTGCACACGCGTGTCCATGCAACACACACTCACGTCCTTGCACGCGTGCATCCCTTCCCTCTGAGCAGACCACGGGCCTCGAGGTGAGCGAGGGGGCCTTCGTGCACCTCCGGGGCGCCCCTGGCTGAGCCTGCGGAAGCGGCCCCCTCCTGCCCCAGGCGGCCCCTGTCTCGCCCCATCTCCGCCCCTCACTGCTGCCTCGGTGCCGGCTCTTGGGCGCGAGGGTGAGTGTCCACTGTCCAGCCCTCGGCCTGGCGCTGCTGGCCACTGGGCCGGCTGCCGTCTGTCTCATGCTGGTCAGAGGAAGCGAGTCCTCTGGGCCAGCGCAGCCCCGTGTCTGCCTTTGGGGTCGGTCTCGGCCGTGAGTGTGGTTCCCGGCCAGCTGTCCCTCTCCTCCAGAGGCGGGGGGGTGGCAGCCCTGGCTGCCCGCCCCGCACACGCCTCCCAAGCTCTCCCAGGCCTGCCTTATGGGAGGAGGGGCCTGCCGAGCCCCCCCCACCCCACCCCCAGATGGAGCGTAGTGGGCCGGGCCTGAGAGTGTGGCTCAGGGTCCGGGCCCCTCTCCCCTCCTGTACCGTGCCTCTGGTTCCGTGTGTGCATGCAGGGTGTGTGGGTACAGCCTCCCCCCCCCCGCCCCCCCTCCATCTTCCAGCCCCCCCAGGCACATGCCCCTCCCCTCTCCTCGGGCCACTGTGGCCGCTGGTCATACTGGCCTTGGCCTGGCTGCCTCGCCTTGTGCCTCTCCCCTGCAGGCCGGGCCGGGTGGGCATGGCCTGGAGCGTGGGGGCGGGCGGAATGCGGGAGCCTGTCAGTTCCTGTGCTCCTTCCTCATCCCCCCACCCCCGCCGACCTCTTTCCCAGGGGCAGAGAAATAGTATTTTTAAAGGTATTTTGTTCTAGTTTTAAATAGCAAAACACAAGCTGCATTTTTAATTTATTATGCACAAAAAAGTAAATTTTTTTGATTTTGCAAAAAAATATATATATATAGAGAGAGAGTTGGAAGCTGAGGGGAAATCTGTGGAAACAAAGGCTTGTTCATAAAGTGCAATATGCCTCATCGATGATATTTCATGTTTATTCTGTAAATAAGTGTATTTAAAGTAAAAAAGCTTTTTTGTAAAAGGACCCAATGTTCTTTTATAAATGTATTAAGGAACATCTTGCTCTTTGAAATCTATTCGGATTTTTATGAATAATTTTTATTAAAAAGATTCTTATTTCTGCGTTGTGCTTCTGTCTCTCCTCCTTACACACGCGCTGCCTGCAGGACCTACCTGGGACCTGGCGTCCTGGGGGCTGGGCAGGGGTGGAGGGACCCTGACCTTGTCCCAGCTCAGCCCCAGCACTGTGGCCTCCCGCCTTCCTGCCTCCACCCCCCGGGGCGCGCGCGGCCACTCTGGTCTTCGCTGGCCCTGCCCTTATCTGAGCCTGAATGGAAGCAGGAGGGAGAGACTCAAGCCCAAGTGCTGCTGTCGCTGGCTCGGGACGGGGTGCCCCAGAGGTGCCCTCGGCCCTGGAAGTTTCCCAGCCCCGCCCTGAGCTCAGCCTGAGAGACAGGGTGGACGTGTACACACGCCCTCGGGGTGGCGGGTGACCGTGGGGTTAGGGTTAGGGTTAGGCAGTGCTTGGGGGACCATATGGGATGCTGGGAATTGAACTTGGGTTGGCCACTTGCAAGGCTCCACCCGCTGTGCTTTCTCTCCAGCCCCCAAAATATGAATTTCTAAAACTGATTCAAGGAGAGATTAAAAATATGAATATCTCGGAGGTAAAAATATGAATCTCTAGGTGGTTTCACAGATGATTCTTTTTTGGGGGGGCGGGGCTACACCTATTGTGGTCAGGTTTACTCCTGGCAGGGCTGGGGGCCATCTGGGGTGTAGGTCAGCCGCTTGCAGCATGATTGCTCCAGATTCTTTCAGAATTGTAGAAGACAATTCCTTTTTAGCTTTCAGTAGTGGAGAAAAAAATAAAAATATTCCAGGACCCGTATTATTTTTAAAAAAGAACTATGGTAACACTTTTCAGAAACAAGAGAGCATACAGAAATAGCAAAAATGTAGGTGCTTGTATATGCATACAAAAGCCCGAAGGAAAATCTTCGATCCCTCAGCAGATTAATGGTAGCACACGGCATGCGGACAGGAGTTATTCCAGGAGAGATTCTCTCTCCCTTCCGCGGGGCTAGAATCCCATCACTGGGGGAAGAGCAAGCTAGACCGGCCAGACCGGATGCTTCTGGGAATGGAACGTAGGGTCCAGTGGTGGACTGCACTCATTTGTGGAATATGAAGTAACAGAATAGGAGACTAACACCCAAGGATAGTCGAGACAAGGACCAGGGGGATTGCTCCACAGCTTGGAAGCCGGCCTCACATGCTGGGGGGAAAGGCAGCCCAGATAGAGAAGGAACCACCAAGTCAAGCATGCTTGTAGGACCTGCTCGGGCTGGGGAGATGTGTGCTGAAAGTAGACTATAGACCGAACATGATGGCCACTTAACGCCTGCATTGCAAACCATAACACCCAAAGGGAGAGAGAGCAAAAGGGAATGCCCTGCCACAGAGGCGGGGGTGGGGGTGAGGGGTGAGGGGTATGGGAGGGATACTGGGAACATTGGTAGAGAACGGGCACTGGTGGAGGGATCATAGTATGACTAAAACGTGAGCACGAAAGTTTTGTAAGTCTGTGACTACCTCATGGCGATTCATTAAAAAGAAAAAGAAAAAGAAACGAAAAGAATCCAGCGGTGCCATAGTAAGAGACTTGAGGCTCACTTCTCGGGCTGCAGGACTCCAGTGAGATAACCCCTGGTTTCTTCTTTTTAAATTTTTATTTTTATTGACTTACTGATTTACAATGGGCTGGAGCCATAGCACAACAGGTAGGGCATTTGCCTTGCACGTGGCTGACCCGGGTTCGATTCCTCCTCCCTTCTTGGAGAGCCCGGCAAGCTACCGAGAGTATCTCGCCCGCGCGGCAGAGCCTGGCAAGCTCCCTGTGGTGTATTCAGTATGCCAAAAAACAGTAACAAGTCTCACAATGGAGACACTACTGGTGCCCGCGTGAGCAAATTGATGAACAATGGGAGGACAGTGCTACAGTGCTACTGGTTTACAATATTACAGAATTTCAGGGGTCAGCTTCATGTCAGCATCAAGACTCCCCACTACAAGGACCCTCTTTCCACCCATCCCAGGCCCCTCTCTGTGGTCACCACCAGAATTCGCCTGGAATCCAAGATTGAGTTTTCCTGTTTCCCGCCGGCTTATTGACTTTAGTGATCCACGTTCCACACGTGAGTGAAATCACCCCGCAGCACTGTCTCACTTCCGGACTTATTTTATTAACTCCGAACACCTCAAGTTCCATTGCTGCCAAAGGGCATAATTTTCTTTTTCTTTTTCTGTGGTGCTGGGGATTGAACCCAGCCAACCCACACACGCAGAGCAAGCTACCACCGAACTGCGTCCCTGGCCACAATTTTATCTTTTTTTCCCTTTTTTTTTCTTTTTGGGTCACGCCTGGCAATGGACAGGGGTTGCTCCTGGCTCTGCACTCAGGAATTACTCCTGGCGGTGCTCAGGGGACCAAACAGGATGCTAGGAATTGGACCCGGGTCGTCCGCGTGCAAGGCAAACGCCCTCCCCGCTGTGCTATCGCTCCAGCCCCGATTTGATCTTTTTGTAATGGCAGGATGGTATATAGACCCTACTCTAAGGTGATCTAGAATAGGACTTAGTAGCAGATAGAGCAGATGCGGGCACAGGCCCTAGCTCCTTTATCCCGTCATCTGTCCAGAGACTCTTGAGTTTCTGTGCCCGCATCCCGGCTTTGTCCCTGCATCTTCTAGTCCTATTAACCTGGGTGCCATATGTACATGTTACTCCTGGCTCTGAGCTCGGAGATCATATGGGATGCCCGGGATAGGACTGGGTCGGCCACGTGCAGGACAAACGCCCTCCCCGCCGTAGCGTCTCTCCAACCCCTCAGGCGCTGTCCTTTTTCCCTCTGTGAATTAGTCCATGTAATTCCAGGAAGTTCTGCCTTAGTTTAAGATAGCCAAAAGGGTCCTGTTGCTTGCCATCAAACCAGCCCCAGGTCCAGGGTGCCCCAGAGACAGAGTGAGGAGACTGGACATTCCTTCTTGGGTCTCCAGGTCCCCCACCCTGGCCTGTGAAAGGGGCACACAGCCCCCCCAGTGGAGGCCGGGCTTGGCCATGTGCCTTGCTTTGGTCAAAGGGTGTCAGTTAGCCCGAGTGAGGGAGGCCGTCCATGGCCCCTGGGTCCCTGTGGCTCGGCCTCTTGTCACCTGCTGTTTGCTTGGACAGGAGTGTGCACCCAGAGGGGTGCCCCAGGGCAGGAGAAGTGTGGGAATGACGCCGATTTGACCCGAGGTCCAGAGTCCAGCCCAGCCCCCGGCAGCCGTTGGCCGCTGAGCAGGACGGTCAGTGTGTGTCGCGTGCAGGGCCATTTCACGGGCGCTGGACTTCAGGGTCCCCCTCAGGTGCTGCCCCTCCTTAGTGCTACTCCTGCTGCGCCGGTGAGCCATGTATTGGACCCAGGCTGTGCCTGATTCACCTGCCTCAGTTTCCCCCAATAGCGCCGGACATGCTGTCGGCTTTGTCCTGGTCTCTCGGGCCCCTCTGGGCTGTGGCGGGTTCCACTCCCCTCTGGCCCTGGAGACCCACGAGGGTCAGTGTCAGTGACAGGGTCTCAGTGTGGAGGTGACCTGCATGCCGGGCCCCCGGGCCCACCCTGTGCCTGGCCCCGGCAGGAGGTCTCAGAGGTGCCAGGCCCAGGAGAGGCCACATGGCCCTCTGCGTGTGGCGCCCGTCCTCTCCACACTGCTGGCCGGCGTCTGTGTGGTCAGCGGGGACCCATGGCCGCTGTCTCCGCTCTGGGCCGGCGTCCAGGGCGTTCGTTTG